AGCAAGAGTGAAGTGCTCTAATAGGGTGATATGGTACTACAAGGTCATTGAGATAAGATGGGGCCTGATTATTTAAGACCTTGTATGTGAGGAGCAGGATTTTGAATTCAATTCTGGATTTAACAGGAAGCCAATGAAGGGAAGCCAAAACAGGAGAAATATGCTCTCTCTTTCTAGTCCCTGTCAGTACTCTTGCTGCAGCGTTTTGGATTAGCTGAAGGCTTTTCAGTGAGTTTTTTGGACATCCTGATAATAATGAATTACAGTAGTCCAGCCTGGAAGTAATAAATGCATGAACTAGTTTTTCAGCGTCACTCTGAGACAGGATATTTCTAATTTTAGAGATGTTGCGCAAATGGAAGAACGCAGTCTTACATATTTGTTTAATATGTGCATTGAAGGACATGTCCTGGTCAAAAATGACTCCAAGGTTCCTCACAGCGTTACTGGAGGCCAAGGTAATGCCATCCAGGGTAAGAATCTGCTTAGATACCATATTTCTAGGCTTTTCAGGGCCGAGTACAATAACCTCAGTTTTATCTGAATTAAGAAGCAGAAAGTTAGCGGCCATCCAGGTCTTTATGTCTTTAAGACATTCCTGCAGTTTAACTAATTGGTGTGTGTTATCTGGCTTCATGGACAGATAGAGCTGGGTGTCATCTGCATAGCAGTGAAAATGTATGCTATGTCTTCTAATGATACTGCCTAAGGGAAGCATGTATAATGTAAACAGAATTGGTCCTAGCACTGAACCCTGTGGAACTCCATAATTAACCTCAGTGTGTGAAGAGGACTCTCCATTTACATGAACAAACTGGAGTCTATTAGATAGATATGATACAAACCACTGCAGCGCAGTACCTGTAATACCTACAGCATGTTCTAATCGCTCTAATAGGATATTATGGTCGACAGTATCGAATGCTGCACTGAGGTCTAGCAGGACAAGCACAGAGATGAGTCCACTGTCAGAGGCCATAAGAAGATCATTTGTAACCTTCACTAAAGCTGTTTCTGTGCTGTGATGAGCTCTGAAACCTGACTGAAACTCTTCAAATAAACCATTCCTCTGCAGATGATCTGTTAGCTGTTTGACAACTACTCTTTCAAGGATTTTTGATATGAAAGGAAGGTTGGAGATTGGCCTATAATTAGCTAAGACTGCTGGGTCTAGAGATGGCTTTTTGAGTAAAGGTTTAACTACAGCTAGCTTGAAGGCCTGTGGTACATAGCCGATCATTAGAGATAGGTTGATCATATTTAAGATCGAAGAATTAATTAATGGCAGGACTTCTTTGAGCAGTTTTGTAGGAATAGGGTCTAAAAGACACGTTGATGGCTTGGAGGAAGTAATTATTGAAGTTAACTCAGAAAGATCAATTGGAGAAAAAGAGTCTAACTTAACATCAATGGTCACGCAGAGGAAATCCACCAGAAGCCTCTCTCACCCACCGCGCTGCTCTCCTCCAGCTTATACCACCTCTGAAAGATAATTGGTGACAAACGAGGGCAGCAGCAGCTGAGAGACAGGGGGGAGGGGCAAGAAAGAAGGAGGGAGAGGACGACACCATGCCCACACACTCCCACAGCCTCACAGGATGTAATACTTGTCAATAACTGTTGTAGAAGGTTTTATTATTTGCATAAATTATAAATCTTTCTCTGCTAACAGCGAGTGCAGCGCTGCTGTTGTATAATTGCTGTGTGAATTGTGTTTTCTTGTTATCACATCAATTATTTATTAACAGTAACTTTCTGTAGTCATAACATGAAGAAAAAACATTCCAAAGTTCGTGATTCATTTTTTAACTAGTCTGTAAGTCAGGGAAACATTTGATTTGCACCTTTTAAACAGATAGTTGTTTCACTCCAACTAGTGAACTCTAAGGCATTTTTTGAAGATGTCCTCTGGTCTGAGGTGCTGGAGGGACCAGTTAGAGACCAGCAGCTGGACGTCAGTGGTTGGACTGGTGGACTACTTCAGTGAAGAGTAGACGATGTCTGACTCTGGTTTAAAGTGTGAACACAAACACACACAGTTCAAACAACAGGAAACATGATGATAAACTTTGTAGTTCAAACAAGACCTCCAATCTCCACCTCTCTGCATCACACACAGTCCCAGTTCAGACCGTCTGTGATGCAGCATGATGGCTGTAAGGAGAGCAGCTGATCCTGTATGGCGTTATTTTTGTGCCACTATTCTGAGCACACGTAAAAAAAAAAAAAAGCAGGTGCAAGTGTTGCATTTTGAGGAAAAATTTATTTTGAGCGAAGAAAAGCTGAATTTGAGTGAACAAAATTCATTGCTCCGTACAAAAAATGTATTTCAGTGTTTGCTATTAAAGGCCAACATTGTTATCGTTTTACAAAAAAACAGCTAAACATGAGAGGTCTTTGGACAAAGTTTGTGTTCTCCATTCTTTAACACCGGTTTGAGCACCGTTTAAGCAAAGGCCTGTTTAGAACAGCTAAAATCGTGTGTCAGACAAGAATGAGACAAAAGTCGAGCAACAGAGGCCTTTCCTATGAAGCGAGTTCAACATACCCAGGGTATTTCCCCTTATCTGGATTAACACTGGTGATCAGGCTTAGCACTCACACAAAGTTGGTTATTAACTCATTAACTTAACCTCAGATATCCCCGGCTTGTTTCCATGAAAAGGGTGGTGTTAGCAATATCTAAACAATCTAAAAGGATGGCTTCATGGGTCATATGACTCTTCTTTCATAAAATAATCCCTATAAGTCTAGAGACATTAACAGTTGGTGATTAAAAATCAATAAGGAAGACTAAAATATAACAGTAGAAAGCACTCATGCTGTTTACGGACTAGTGGCGAATGGTGCAGCAAATGTTGAATCTAATGTTTTAATAAACAGAACAGTAAAATAAACATTGTAGTTCCAGTAAATTATTTTTCAGTGAAGTTGCTTAAAGTGCTGTTGTTTATTTGTAAGGTGACATCAGCACATTAGAGTCTGAACATTTCAACTGGACTCACTTAAACACTAAAGCTTACCATCCCGCAGCCTGATAAAGGAGACATGGAAATCACATTAGCTTGTCTGCAGATCAAAGTGAAATCAATGTCATTGAACAGATATTTTATGTGAACTACAATTTTAACTGATTATTTTTTTAAACTGTGTTCTAGAAGCTGCAGTTCAAGCAGAGTAAAAACGACTCAGCAGCAGAATAAAATCAAGTACAAAACATTTACAAAATCACCAAATTTCTATGTTCATTTATAAGCAAAATGTGGTTTTGAAATGCAAATCACTGCATTGTGGTTTTAGTTACAGTTTGAGCTTGAGCTCAAAGTTTGGATATTGAGCTTGTATAAATATATCTTGTCATACCTGGGTTGTAGGTGTCATGTAGGTGTCATGATGGTCTTAATTTTTCTCCCTTGTACTCCACCCTTCTTGGCATATATCTTTATAACATTTGCCAAATAACTATCCAGCTGGGAGAAGAACTTCAACTGCAAATGGAGTGTCGTGATCCTCTTTAATTCTGCACTCACCTACAAAAGGCAGAATAATAATCCAATAGACAAAACTCACTTTGGCTAATAATAAGGATACATTTATAACTGAGATTTACACAGCACATTTCAAAAGCCCCAGGATACTTAAAAAAGGAAGACACCACAAATAATTAACTAAGGATTGTGTTGCCATTATTCAGTACATATTTAAGGATCAGTCAGTCTGTTCAATACATGTGAATGCATAATCCATTAGTTTGTTGTTTATTACATATATTATATTACATTATATATTACACATTCATATATTCCTATTTATAGCTGAGTCAGTAAATCCCATTTGGTCATAAGTTACTTCTATATAATATTCAAATGGAAGCAAAATATTGATGTGTTTTCAAACAACCCGTTCTCACTCCCAAAGCGTAACATTTTACGCTAGGTGACAAATCGTCACCATATTACGCTTTCGCCTACCCACCACGTTCCTAAATGACGACCTCGGAAAAAGAGGAAATATGAGAACCGTCTGGACTGAACCTACACATGTTCGCTCTTTTTCTTCAAATCGCTTAGAAACACGCTATTTAACATCATTAAAGTCCTGGTTAAGGTCAGGAATAAGGTTATGGTCAGGGCTAGGGATAAGGTTAGGTTTAGGGCTGGAATACAGGGCTGGAACGTCTACTACCGCGGGAGCGTCACTGCACTGGATTCCAGCCATAACCCGCCGCGTACCATAAGAACGCCGAAGGTCTCCTTTCGCGTTCCTCAGGAACGCCGCGGGACGTGACAAAACGTCGCTATGTTACGCCTCGGGAGTGAGAACGCTCTGTTTCAAACCCATTTAATGACCTCACACACATGGAAGAGAGCTGGACACCTCATTTTGAAAACAGTGATCATCGGTGCTTCATGTACTACCTCTTGCCTGAGAGTAAAGGTCTTCTCCATCATTGCAGCCACCCTGTGGTCATTGTTTTCTTTTCTTAACTTCTGATGTAACCTTATATTACATCTATGTGTGTTTTTAATGTCATTTGTCTTAGATGCCCAACAAAGTAGTCTGCCAAAGAGTATTCATCGGCAAGTTCAGTCAACACAGTCGCTCTGCTTGGACATGCAGTCAGCTCAAAGGCTCTGGAATGTTCCCTGTAAGCCTTTTCACTATGAAACACAAGCTCTCCTGAACAATACAATACAGGTGGACTTCAGATGTACCAGGGAATTTCTTTGCAATAGTCTGAGCCATTTCTTCTTTCAAAACATCAACAGGAACTGTTGAGACATTTACGACCTGTAAAGGAATGTTTTCAATACTAGATGACCCCAAATGATATGAATTAAAAATGATCACCTTACCTAAAATACCATTTGACAATTAAACATTTGTTATGTTTACAGGAGGGTACTGCAAGTCTCCAAGTTTATTAAGTAGAAAATTTTATTTAAAAAAAATTAAGAAACAGGAAAAAATATCTGTTCATGTTTTGTCTTCCCTCCTCATTGTACTAAGAACACATCAATTGTTAAATAAAATACTATGCAACAGTTGCAACTTACAAACTTACAAATTTCAACAATCCACACACAACACAACAGTTTCTGTGGTAAAGCCAAACTAGCTTGTGTGCAGAGTTTGAGTTATAAACAGTATCTACATTTTGAATAGCTAATTCTTTCATATTAGGCTATCATGCTTGTGCTAGCATGAAATTCTGCTATATTGTTACACTAATGTGTTAGCTAGCTAGAGTGGTATAAACAGCCAGATTTAAAAAACTAAACAAAAATGTGAATAAATAGTACTGAAAAGAATCGACAAACTGATGATACCTTTGCTCAAAAAGTATTTTCATCAAGATGGATGAACACAGATTGACTCTTACTTTTCCAAGATGAACGTGAAGCAAATCATGAGCTTTCCTGCCTCCTGTGGTTCAAAATCACGTGTGAACTTGTGATATCGTGAGTCTTTAAGGCAGCTAACCACTCTTATTAGATTTTATCATGTCATATCAACAAGAATACATTTAAGAGGTGTTAAGTTGGTAAATTGCATGTAGATCTTATATGATTTTATTACATTCACCTTAGAAACAAACATTTATTTTGTTCAAATTACATGTTCGAGTCCTGTAAATCCAATAACCTTGACTTCATCTACTTTTTCTCAGGTAAGTGTGAGCGAGAGTCTACAGCTTTCTACCCCCACGTCTAATCCCTTTACTTTCAGGGCCGTGTCCACTTAATACTACACTGTGTAGTTATATGGCATTTTAGTTCATATAAAGCATAACATTGAGGCACTTCAAATAATTTCATCTCAACAGTATTCATGAGTTCTTTACGAAACTGTCTGTTCATTTTGAGTCTACGTTCATGCCTGTTTCCATCTGTTTCACACAGTGGAAGTGGCCTCAGTTTAGTGGTGATGTTGTAACTATGTTTGGTTAATGCCTCAACTCTGTGGTGTGCAGACAATCATAGACAACAAATTATTTATATTTTAGAGATTATGTTTATTATGTGGATATGAACAGAATGTTCTGGTCTGGCAGACACATTACACAAGAACAGTAGGTTTTAGTAGCACAGAAGCTATATGAATGTCACTTCAAAATTCAAAAGAACAAATCAACTTGTAGCTCTTCTCATTAAATAGGCAGTAATTTAACATGCTTGTTTCATATAGCAGGCACAAAGATGTTAATACACAAAACTGTGTGTTGTGCTCAATAACCCACATCATACTGATATCCCATGAACTGCCAGATATTCAGCTCTGTTATTTATCTCCTACCTCTGAGAGGGGCTACTGAGCAAACACAGATCACAGGTTGTAATAATATCAGGTTAAATGTATAAATGTTCACACTGTTACATTCAAGATGAGATCAAATCTGCACACATTCAAACAGCAGGTCAGGAAACGTTTACAGCCACAGGAAGCAAAGACAAACATTGAAGAGTAACACATGTAAAACTTTATCAGTAAACAAACTGGTATAAAAATAAAATAATAAATAATCTTGACATGTTTAAACTGAAGAGTCTCCTTCATGGAGGAACAAGTTAAGGCTTCATAGATCAGAGGAAACATGTGACTCTGCAGCTCCATGTAACACATTTCTCTTTGGTTTCATAATAATATCAGATTATTCAGTCACTCAGTTCTAGCTGATAAATGGACCCTGAGCACTTTGTGTTGTGTTTGTGTTGTCAGTCAGTGTCTGTAATTATTGTGTAACATCTAAACACGAGGATCAGTCTGAGTCTGACCTCACAAACAGCTGAACCTGAAGATGACACAAACTCACTGATTCTGATATTGTGACAGAGACGACGCTGAATCCATCACTGTGAACAAACTTATTTCTGTCGACATCAGAGACAGAAACATGTTTGTCACATAAAATGGTTTTTGTTGTTGAATATCACTGATCTTATTCTCAGATTTGTAACTTTTCTTTGTTTGAATTATGAAGTCTTGAATGTTCCACATATAAATAAGGCAAAAGTGTAAATAACACTGTTTAAGAACATAAACTCTTCCTCTGAGATGAGCGACTAACCTGGAAGCTAAAACAAACTAATAACTAATACTGATGCACACAAAGCAAACAAACAAAAACAGGAAGTTCAAATCTCTGAGAGCTGACTGATGTCTGTCCTCATATCATCTTCTGAATGTTTAATAACACTAAATGAAGTCTGGCTCAGCAGGAGACTCAGACTCCAGGAGTTCAGCTGTAAAAACTCACATTTCAAACAGACTACAATTCAGCAGGTTGATGGTGCGGATCCTGACTCTTTGTTTTTTCATGTTTTCTGTAGATCAAAAATCCACCAACAGCAGCAACAAGAAGAACAGCAGAAACTGACAGACCAACTTTCAGTCCAACAGATCCATCCTCTGTGTCTCCTCCTGTCTGACCTGCAGGTGAGAAACAGGTGTGAGGTGTCAGCTGTCAGGTAGGTGATGAGTGAAGAACAGAACAGAATCCATTTCCTCTTCAAACTGCTGTCAGACATTATCTACTGCACTCTGATCACATCACTCAGACCAGCTGCTTTCTACAAAGTCTCATCAACAACATCTTTAGAAACAAACATCAACAACCAGGAAGCAGCTTCACCTCTGATCACACACACACTCAACTCTACTCACTCACCTGGAGGAACAACATGAAGGTGGATGATGCTGATGGGCTTTGAACTGCCTCCACCTCTGGGAATGACAACACACTCGTATGTTCCAGTATCATTAATCGTCACATTGTTCAGAATCAAAGACACGTCTCCATCCTTCATCTGTTTGTCCTGCAGATCCACCCGGTTCTTAAAAGATGGATGCTGGTTTTCTGGATCCTTCTTATTATCCTTGTACAAAAGCACATATTCATCTCTCAGGTCAGCTCTGCTCCATTTTACAACACTGATGGTTTTGTTGTTTGGAGCTCGACATGTCAGAGTGAAGTCCTGTCCAGACTCAGCTGTGATGTTTTTCTGGTCTGAAAGAGGAAACAACACAGAGCAGATTGAAGTGAGAAACTGGAACTGACTGCAGGTCAGATTTGAAAGAAGCCCTCCCACTCTCAGCTTCATACAGCAAAGGGACTGTTACTCATATAACAACCTTCTCCTCAGCTGATCATTCACACACACACACACACACACATACACCACTGTTATCTCTGCCTCAGTGCTTTCTCAGATTTGCACTCTGACCAGCAACAACTCAGGGTTCAGTATCCTGAGGAGAAAGTTCTTGTCCAAGGAGACTTTAACATGCAGGCTACAGGAGCCAGTGATCGATCCACTGACCTTCAAACGGATAAATGATCCTCTATCTCATGAGCTACGAATTAGGAATGGCCATGCACCACCCACAGAAAAGAGAAAGAGCTCTGAGATGGTTGCAGTGAATGTCAACAGTAGTAAAAATGTAATAAAATGTAATCTATTAGTCTCAAAGAAGTCATCCATTACAGGATTAAATGACTACAGGCCTGTCTCCCTGACATCTGTGGTCATGAAGTCCTTTGAGAGACTCGTGTTGAGCCACCTGAAGGGCATCAAAGCCTCTGCTGGACACCCTGTAGTTTCCCTACTGGGCAAACAGGTCAGCTGAGGATGCATCAGTATGGGACTGCAGTAAATCCTGCATCACCTCGACCAACCTGGGACATGCGCCAGTATCCTGTATCCAACAAAGTCATCCCAGACATCCTGCAGCAGAAGCTCACCCAACTTACTGTGCCCACCTCCACCTGTCAGAGGACTACCAGCTTCCTCAAGATTCAAATTTCAAGATTCAAGATTCACATCATGCACACAGACCATCAACAGTGGGCTGCACCAGAAGTGTGTTCTCTTGCCACTGGTCTTCTCTCTCTACACTAATGACTGCACCTCAGGAGAAGCATCTGTGAAACTCCTGAAGTTTGCAGATGACAGCACTGTCACTGGTCTGACTGGGAACAATCGAGTTATCCTAAAGACAGTAGGTGGACCAGTTGCTTCCAGTCAAAGACTGTCAACACTCCACCTTCCAGCCTTTCAACAACTGTGAATCACTTCAGATTATTAGGATCCACCTTTTCAGAGGAACTAGTCCTTACACATATAAACCATTTTTCATTAGTACCTAGTTGGATCAGCTCAATACTGTATGACTCAGCTCGACTCTTTTTCCATTACAATTGAAAACAGCTTAATAAACAATCATATGATCCTATGAGCAAGCACTGTAGTGACAGTGGGAAGGAAAAACTCCATTTTAACACGAAGAAACATCCAGCAGAACCAGGCTGAGGGAGGGGAACGCATGTGCTGTGACCAAGGGCTGGAAGACAGGAATAATTGAGAAATATGGACGGTTGGCAATTGGCCTATAATGAGCCAAGACAGCTGGGTCAGGAAGTTGTGTTTTTGAAGTAAAAGTTTACCAACTACCAGTTTGAAGGCCTTTGGCACATAGCTGATTATTACAGACAGGTTGATCGTGTTTAAGATTGAAACATTAATTCATGGTAAAAGTCATTAACCAGGTACTAAAAAGTGCCCGTTATCAGGGACTACCACACGATGGAAACCCTAAAAACCACGCTGAGCCGACTACAGTAGGTAGAAATGGAATAAAGGCTAACAGGCTATTAAAGAGAAAACCCAGCAGAGGTTGTTTTCCTGTGGTAACTCAGGAATTGCAGCGTCTCACAGTAAAATGCAAAAGCGTTTCAAAAAGAAGAGATTAATGCGGCAGCAAATCATTCGTACACTTCCTGTATCGCTAAATTAGTTCACGGACTTTCCCGTCAGAATGCATCATAGAGCAATTTTAGTGGCTACAACTTAACACGCTGCACATATACGATGGTTTCTCCCAGCAGATAGTTTATATTTCACTTTAATGTGCTGCGTGTAAAAGAATCAGTAAACACTGGCGCTTCCTGCTGTTTTTAAACCGAAACTCTGAACCAGGAAATGTGTCCAGCATCTGTTAACGAGCTGATCTAGAGACAGAAACCTTCATGAAAACACTGGAGTTAAATTCAACATAACTCGTTAAACCATTATTGAAAAAGATGCTCTAAGTTGTGGCATCTGAAGGTGCCACCGGGGATGCCAGTAACCGAGTCAGTCTTTCATCATATTTATCTCAGAATAAAGTACCGGCCAGTTTAAACAGCAGCTTTACAACATGTTTGACTTTATAATAACTAAATTTAACCTGCACAGACGAAGGCAACCAGACAAGTCCACCAAAACGCAATATATATTTTGGCAGCCATCACAGTTGGGGTAACGGGAAACAAGGTTTGATCAAAACGCTTCCGCATTATGTGTTGTGATGCGTTTAGAGTTTGGTCAGTGCTCTGTGCACGGATTATTTAGCAAGTCTAAAATACACCACAGTGGGGAACAGATTCAAAAGATTTAGTTTTATTACAGGTACATTTCCCGCCTCCATCTTGGATTGTTAACTTGAGCTTCATGAAGCTGCTCTGACTTTCCCAGTTTGAAATACAGACTGAGGACGTGATCAAACTGAAAATTCCGACTGAGATCTGCTCCTCCAACTACTCCATTTCTTCTTCGTCTAATTTGTCTTCTTCTTTGTGATGTGAATGGTTGTTGGCCAATCAGCTTACAGTACCAATGGTACTTTAGCGTTACCTACTGGAGTGACTGGAGAATAGCAGGAGGAAAATTTGTACGGTAAAAAACCCCAAAACGAAACAGAATTATATAAAAACAACTGAAAAACAAAACTGCCAGTCCTACCAAGATGTTTGACACACAATTTCATTTATTATATTTTCTTTATCTTTACTACTTATCTAATACAAACAGACATCAAATATATGAAGCAAGAGATATGGAATTATGTGGCAAAGAATAAGAGAGAATAAGAACTCTAAATATGTTTTATATTTTAGATTACACTAAGTAGCCACCTTTTGCTTTGCAGAGAAATTTCAGTCTGCCTTTAAGCCACGGCACAGCACTGAAACGGCCTTGCTTAGAGTTCTCAATGACCTATTTGTAAGCACTGACTCTGGGTCACTGTGGTCTTGGTTTTATTGGACCTTTCCTCTGCTTTTGATATGGTTGATCATAACATTCTTCTACTAAGACTTGAGCATACTGTGGGTATAAGAGGCACTGCCCTCAACTGGTTTAAATCTTATCTTGCTGACAGGTCTTTTTCGGTTAATTTGGGCAACTTCTCATCTTCCTCGGTACCTGTACGCTGTGGTGTGCCTCAAGGATCTGTATTAGGCCCTATTCTCTTTTCACTATATCTGCTCCCTCTTGGAGCAATTTTTGAGAAGTATAATATTGCCTTTCATTGCTATGCTGATGATATACAGATTTATTTTGAGATTACCGACAATCTTGCTATGTCTTTTCACTATTTTCATGAATGCTTGCGTGAGGTTAAAGGTTGGTTCAAGAGTAATTCTCTTGTCCTGAACGAAAAGAAAACGGAGATCGTGGTGTTTGATAGTAAAATCCCCCGCGACCAACTGTGTGCTGCTCTGATGCCTTTTGCTAGCTCTCCCTCTGACTATGCCAGTAATTTGGGCATACTACTGGATAGCTCGCTTAAATTTGACAAGCAAGTGTCTGCTGTTGTGAGGTCTAGTTTTAATCAGCTGCACCTCATTTCGAAGGATAAGCGCTATATTCTGCACATTGATCTGGAAAAACTCATTCACGCATTCGTGACTTCCAGGTTGGACTACTGCAACTCTCTTTACATTGGCCTTTCCTCCACCCTTCTCGTTAGATTGCAGACTGTCCAGAATGCGGTGGCACACCTTTTGACAGGAAGCAGGAAGTTTTCTTCCATCACTCCTGTTCTTGCTGGCTTGCACTGGCTTCCAATTAAATACCGTATTCAATTTAAAATATTACTTTTCACCTACAAAACCATTAATAACTTGGCGCCGAGCTATCTCAATGAGCTTCTCAGGTTACACACTCCTGTCAGAGCACTTAGATGTGCTACCCAAATTCTTCTGGAGCAACCTCGTTCTCGGCTGAAGTCTCGCGGTGACCGCGCGTTTGCTGTAGCTGCCTCGGTCTTATGGAACCTTCCTGTCGCTATCCGGGTGTCTGACTCTATGCCACTGTTTAAATCACGGCTTAAGACTTATTTGTTTAATCTTGCCTTTCCACCTAGTTAACACTTGGTGTGCACTGGTACATTTTTTATGCTTGTGAACTACTTTTATATCTTATGATTGCCAAGGTTTTTATAATTGATACGTGCCAGGTCCTTTCTCTTTTCCTTCCCATCTCCCTTTTCCTATTTTATTTTTGTCAAGCACCTTGGTATACCCTTGGTTTTTTAGTGTGCTTTATAAATAAAGTTTATTATTATTATCATTATTTTGCTTTACTGACAGCACCATAAACCATTGGCCTTCTCTCAGTCAGCGAGCTTAATGATGTAGTCACCTGTAGTCACCTCCATCATTAGTTTAAGAACTGAAGGTCAGTCAGTCTGGAAAATTGCTAAAAGTTTGAATGTTTCCCCAAGTGCAGTTACAAAAAACATCAAGTGCTACGATGAAACTGGCTCACATGAGGACGGCACCAGGAAAGAAGACCAAGAGTCACCTCTGCTGCTGAGGATAAATTCATCTGAGCCACCAGCCTCAAAAATCACAAGTTAACAGCACCTCAGATCAGAGCAAAGATAAATGTCACATAGAGCTCCAGTAGCAGACACATTTCTACGTCACTTCTTCAGAGAAGACTGGTGAATCAGGCCTTTATGTTCAAATAGCTGCTAAGAAACTACGACTAAGGAAAAGCAACAAGCAGAAAAGAGATTTGTTTGGGCCAAGAAACTCAAGGAATCTCAAGGCTCATGCTGTCATCACACAAGTTTTGGGGTTATTATTACCAGTTACGTTTAACATCGCTCTTTAACCCATTATTGAAAAAGCTGCTGTAAGTTGTGGGATCTGAAGATGCCGCCGGGGATGCCAGTAACTGAGTCAGTCTTAAACCAACCGATACTTTCCTCTGTTACAAACAGGATGAAAAGTAGCACATTTAAAACATGTTTGACTTTATAACAACTAAATCTAACCTGCACAATTAGAACCAGCAAAGTCCAGTAAAATGGTAGATATATTTCAGCAGCCATCACAGGTAACGGGAAATCAAGTTTGATAAAAACACTTCCGCAATAGCTGTTGTGATGCATATTGACCTTCTTTTTCTCTTCGTCATCTACGTTGTCTTTGTCTTGTACATTGCTGCCTGTTATGATGATTTCTGATATGAGGTTCAGTTCTACGGTGGAGATCGCAGGGTGTGCACAGGTCAAGAGCCACTATGACCCTCCAGAAAATAATGAGGTCAGGGGATGATCGTTCAGCTCTTTAATGGCAGATTTAGCGTGGGTGTGGGTATGTGTGTGGTTCAGTCTTATGGACGCACACTCTCATTGAACCCACATAAACTGCTCCCGAGCATAACTTGTGATTCACACTGCCTTCATGAACACCATTTTCCATCCCAGTCAAAACATTACTCACAAAACGGCCGCGCCCTCTAGTGGCGAGGCAGAAAACTGCACCACAGTCCTGCCTTCAGAACACTGCCTACTGGACGGGAGTGTGATCGGAGAACATAAACAGCAGGGTGTAAGATGCTAGCAGGCATGGCATACGTGGAACACCATAACCAAGTGGCCGGTGTCATGCCAAGGTAAGCATCCCCGACAGAATCTGTTTCCCCTGAGTCAGGAGCAGGATCTGGCCAATAAGATCGGACCCAGTTGACTCCACCTCCTTTCCAACAACTAGACACGGAAGTAGTGATGTTTCACATTAGTGAAAGTATTGTTCCATTACCGTTCAGTTTACGGGTTACAATAGCAAATGATTTATTTATTATTCTAACGTGTTATTGGATGGGATTATTTCAATGAACCTAGGACATTTTGTCTGAAATTATTTGTATCCCACTGTAACTTTACTGTATAAAGAATTAACATCTCCAAAATTTCAGGAGCAGTTATTCATTATAAGAAGTATTTGTAAACTAATAATTAAGATTATGGGATACTTTGTCCGTGATTTGGAAAGCCCAGTGCGTGCTTGCGACACAAGGGAAACATATTCTGTCGGGGAAACTTAACTTGGCACAACTCCCACATAAACAAACATCTGTCCTAAGTATGGCCTGAAAATCCCGAGGTCAAATTGGGACATACCCCGTGGTTGAGAATCCTGGGGGATTTCCAGATAAAGACAGACAAACTGGTGATGGCTAACCACCTGGACATAGTGGTGGTTGACAAACAGAGGAAGACAGTCGTAGTGGTAGATGTATGAGTGAGGGGAACGCAAGAAGCTCGAGACATACCACGGGCCCAGAGAAGAGCTTTATAAGATGTGGAGGGTGAAGGTCCCAGTGGTGATCGGTGTGCTCAGAGGAGTAACTCCTATACTGCAGAGTGAGTGATTCCAGAGGATCCCAGGAGCAACATCGGAGATCTCTGTCCACGAGAGCGCAGTTCTAAGAACACTTAAGATACCACTCAGGACGCTCAAGCTCCCAGGCCTGTGGTGGAGGACCCGGCCTTAAAGAGAAATACTGCCCGCTTGATGTGGGTTGCATAGCCTTGTGTTGGAGAGGAAGGTCACCAAAAATGTTCAGATTGAGTTTCAGTGGAGAGATGTTTAAAGTTATTTTCAGCCTTTTTGGGAAAACATTGTTACATGCCTGTGGGGAAACTTCTATTGGTTTCTTCCACCTTATGCTGATACTCTCTGTGTGTGTGTGTGTGTGTGTGTGTGTGTGTGTGTGTGTGTGTGTGTGTGTGTGTGTGTGTAATATTGTTTTGTATTAGCATTAAAGCTGGTGAACTGACTGCATGTCTAAGGCTTATGACCTATTTAAATAGTGCCGCCTACAGGTCACATATATATATTTTCTGCACTTTATTTTTGTGGCAGCTGCACATTTGAGCTCTGAATCTTCACCGTAGAAACATTTAAACACTGAGGTTTAGTCAGTGTGTTCAAGTCTGTAGTGATGGGAAGTTCGGCTCTTTTCAGAGAGCTGGTTCTTTTGGCTCCCAAATGGCTCTTAATTTATTATCTTCTGTAGCCTCATATTTTAGCTTTACATGGCAAATATGAATGCTTTGCGAGTTGATAACCACTTTTGCTTTCAGTTTTTTTTTT